GAAAATGTACGATTCCAGAGACGATTTCATCAAGTCAAGCTTCACATCCCCCAGCGGCTCCAGTGTCTCCCTTGAAGACGTACTTTCATTCTGGGTGAAACTGTAAGCTGCACGTCATTCCCCGTTAGTAACCACCAGGGCGTAAGCTGCGTGTGTGTGTGTCTGTGTGTGTGTTTGTGTGTGTCTGTGTGTGTGTTTGTGTGTGTGTGTGTGTGTGTGTGTGTGTGTGTTTGCAGCTGCACTCTGATTCGTTGTGGGTTGAATCCGACACATGAAAAACACAGCGGAGGAAAATCTTAATTATTTAAATCAAACAATTAACCACAGCCGTCCGGGGAAAAGCTATTTTCCTCTCGGCTCATCCACAGCAAACAACACCAGCCACTGTGCCGGGTGGAGTCCGGAGGACAACGGGTCACATGGAAGACACCGGCCAATAGAGGGGACATACCCGCATTTCAAAAATCGTTCTAGTTTTTCAATGATTGACAACAACTATTGCTGCTGAGTGTGCAGCGTGCACATGACAAAGAGCATTTTCTGCTGGAACTGAAATATCTAAGATGTCTCAAATAGACCTGTATGCACTGGGGTCAGTCATGTTTAGAGGACTATTTCACTTTCTCTCACAGGAAATACAAGATCTTCAGCTTTCTTTCCCTCGGGAACCATTTAAACTCTTTTACAACGAAAATCTTCCTTCTTAATGGTCCTGAGGGGAAGTCATATTATACCTCCTCATTGAGGCTTATTGAGGAATGTTACGTTCTCATTCATTTTTTTGATCTGTGTAATTTGCATCCCGTCACTTTGTCTGAAGAAAAGCTTGACGTTCACATTGATCACACTGTCTATATGTATAATTCATGTGCTTCAACTGGAGACGCTCCACAATTAAACTTTGATGAAGCCGTGTACGACATTCTTTCTTATGGACCTACACGCCAGCCACTGTCTGCTGGGTACAACATCTATCTGTAAATATTGACAAATGCACAACCACTAAAACGCTTCACTGACCTTAAAACATGGGAAAAGAAACACATCAGACCTTAGGCAATGTTCAAATTATATGATTGAATCTATCATATTGTTTCAATCTTTGTTGATGATAATCGATCATTTATCAAACTGAATATACGTTTATATTGATATGCATATTTTATTGGTATTATTTTATAAAAAAGATAACTGGTTTTGAGTTCACTTAGTTCTGGCATTCAAATTGATGAGGTGAATAATATAAGTTAAACTCTTTACACTGACTTTTACTGATCATTTTATTAATTCTCGTAAATTTGTACTGAAACTGTTGAAATGTCTTTTCTTTTGTTTTCACATTGTTCACTTTGACGGAGCCTCTACAAGAAAAGGTTATTATTATGGAACATGAAGTCATCTGCCGTTTAGTTTTATTCCCAGAAAGGTTTAAAACGTCCAAAATAAATACAATAAGGCATTTTATGAAGATTTGGGTTGTCAATAATCTTTGTATCAAATATTAATATCCAAATTTATTTGCAGACGTATCATTAAAACCAATAGAACAGCCCTTAAAATGTCTGTCTTCCTCCAGACGTCAGAACCAGAGAGCCAAACCTTCCACAGAACATGAAGTTATGAGGATATTTTGCTGCATGAAGGCCTGTATTGGGTGGTGTATATATCGGGTGGTGTAGATATTGGGTGGTGTATATATCGGGTGGCTCGGCGGGGGACCGGGGCCCGAGCTGCTGTTGTACGACAGAGAAAAGGAGCTTCTTAACAAACACAAGCACAAATCAATAGTATCATAACAGCTGATATTCATTATTCATTAATAACGAGTTTATGGGCCGAAAACCACCTGCTGAGCCGAGAAGACGGAAAATACTGATGCTGAATACATTCATGTTTAAATGGCTCTCTGGTTCAAACTGAAGTCAGTTTTCATCCCTTTCCAGATGCTTATCTGTTTTCAATATAACATTGTGCCTGTGAGGTTCCTCGTCTGTGAACCATCACTGTAAAAAGTTAGGCTGTGCAGATCATGCTTTTATTTTGTAGGTTTCGACTAGTATGATGTTTTTTTTTTAAAAATTTAGTGCCGATTTTTTAATTGTATACTAATAAAGCACATATCTTTAAAATGTCTATTAATAATCACAGTGAGTATTAATAGATGTGGTGTGTCTTGGATTTTTCAGAATAAGGTGCCTTCAGGAGAGGGGTTTCATGAAATGGACGGCACGTATCCCCCACAATGCACTGCTTTGCAATGTTAGAGTTAGAATTATTTTATTTGGTGTTGTTCTCCTGAGCTCCCGGGGGGATGAATCATGTGACATACATGTAAATATCAGACTCAGGGTTCATAAATGAATTAAGGAAATTGATGGAATACTCTTTTTTTCTCATTTATACCTGCCTATGCAATATTTCACACAACAGCATTGGGACTGATGCTTTTATTATATTTAATGTCTACACGTGGTGGTGTTTTATAAACAGTTTGCAGCCGTTTTGAACTCAACATGGTGAAGTTTATTTGATTTTTCAAGCCAACAAAAAACAATTAAAAAAAAAAGGTAAAGACGTCAACATTTCCCCAAGAATCCAGATGTTTTCAAACACTGATTCAAAGATGGTTTTGGTTTCTGGCCTTTAATGGACCTCAAGTATTCCAAAAATACCAAAAAACGAGGGTATTAAAGAAATATGAACTGCTTGAACCGAAGAGTGTTCTTTCTATTGAGCTTTAAGTCCACTTCGTGCCGGACGTGGTTCTTTCCGGCTCCGCCCTCACGCGGTAGAGACGAGCGTCTTCACAGGAGGCCAAAGTGATCAATATTAGAGTCACTCAAGTATCAAATCCTATTCATCACTGGAGAGGGATGGGGGGGGGGGGGGCAGCTTTCAGACGGACGGACCTCCTTCACCTCCACGCGGCTCCTGTTTCACAGCAGCAGCTGGCGAGCACGCCGATTCTTTCCACGGACACGCGAGCTCATGTTGCATGAGTCCATTAAATGTATATTTTAAATAAAGTATATACAAAATACCTGCCTTTTTTTTGTTTGTTTTGATTGATTTTATTTTCTGAAGAAGGGCTGTCAAAGGATGAAGTAAAACGTGCACGGTTTATTTCAGCTTCTGTTGTTCACACAGACACATTTAAAGCACACTTTCACAAATGAAACAGGTGTTTTTCTTCTCTGCTTCTCTAAAATAAATTAAGGTCAAATAAATATAAAAGAAAAAAAAAGAAAAATTAGGTTTTCTCAGAAAAATAAGTATAAATAAGGCCGACTGTTTCCCTTCATCGAAATATCTACAAAGTGCGCTCCACAAAGGTGTCAGTGATAATAACAATAATTATAACAATATGCAAATCATTCATGTTACGAGGACACAGAGAGGAGAGGTCAACAACCCACGTGTAATAATAACGTTAATAATGATAAATAAATACAAATAAATATAGCTAAATAATAATAATTTGATTGTCAAAGCATCCTTGCAGTGGTCATGAACAGGTTTACACATCAGTGCGTTTTCTATTTCATCTTTGAACGGGTGAAAGAAAACGAAAAATAATAAAAACACATAAACAAACTAAACAACGAATCGATTCTACTACATTTTTTTTGCGTGTGTTTGTTTGTTAATCACCAAGAACGTGCCAACACTTGCATAATGAGGTAGCCACACATGTACCGTGTGAATGTGTGTATTCGTGCGCGTGTGTGTCTGTGTGTGTCTTCTTATTGCAATGCATTCACTTGGGGGCGTGTGTGTGGTGTGGTGTGGGGGGGGGGGGGGGGGGGGTCATATTTTGGAAGCCATAACGCCGAGAAAACACTTCTCCAACCGAGTAAACCATGCAATGGATTACAGGAGTTCACCCCCCCACAAACACACACACACACACACACACTCGGAAAGGAAATGAAAAACGTTCTGAGTTCCCGACAGAAACAAACACAGAGCCAATACATTTCAATGAGCTTGTCCACACACGGAGGTGCAACGTATTCACAAATATCTACAATGATACATATAAAAAAAGCTATTCCGAATAAGGATCCCCATCATTATTTTACTTTTATTTTGTACAATAATTGTATAACTGGATGGATTGAGACGGAGCGTTGTTCCTCATCTTTTTTTTTTTTTTCTGATGGTGAAGCATCAACGTTTTGAGAGTCTGAAGTTTTTGGACAAGGTCTCAGTCTCTCTCCCGGTCCCGCTGCTCGGTCTCCGCTGTCACAGGAAGGTACACCGTTGAATCCAGCTGTTGATGAAGCTGCTTATGGCTGGAAAAAAAAAAGCCCCCCTGGTTTTACTGACCGGGGGTCAGCCGTCCAGGCGCTCAGTGTCCTTGAAGTGTTGAATACTGTCTCCCTTCGCAGCATCGTGACGAACCTGAACATTTAGTCCGTGTAAAAAAAAAAAAAAAAAAATCAGACTGTAGAGGAGACGAGACGTAACCGAAGGGGATCAACATCAGGCCCAGCGGGGTACCTTGTTTCTATGACAGGGTGCAGCAGCAGCTCGTCTCTGCTTTGTCTTTTTGTAAAAGGACTGATGGTCTTAGTGCGTCGCAGAAAACTTCATTCGTTTCTGCTTTTGCCTCTGATTGCAAAACCAAACCCGGACCACGTCTTTTTCAGGTCCAACTTCTCGGCGATCGCGGCGATCTTCTCCGACGAGGGCCTCGGCTGCACGGCGAAGTAGGCCTCCAGGGACCGCTTCTCCGGGGCCGCGATGGACGTTCGTTTCCTCTTCTTGTCCCCCCCGTTGAAGATCTCCGGCTTGGACATCTTCTCCCTCTGCGCCCGCTCCGCCTCCTCCAGCCAGGCCTCCAGGATGGGCTTCAGGGCCACCATGTTGTTGTGCGACAGCGTCAGGGACTCGAACCTGCAGATGGTGCTCTGGCTCAGGCACCCGACCCCGGGGATCTTGAGGTTGGCCAGCGCCGAGCCCACGTCCGCCTGCGTCACCCCGAGTTTGATCCGCCGCTGCTTGAACCTCTCGGCGAACGACTCCAGCTCCCGCGGGTCGGGCTCCGAGTCCAGGCCGCCGCCCCCCAGTGAGCCGTGGGACAGCGCGTGCTGGTGCATGTTCATGGACTGCTGGTGGTGGTGGTGGTGGTGCTGCATGTGGTTGATGGCCGACATGTGCGCGGCGTGGGCGTTGTGCGAGGCCGTCGAGCAGACGTCCGACCCTGGCATGCCTCCCAGGGAGATGCCCGGCGTGAGGTGGTCCAGCAGCTCGCTGTCCAGGACCTGAGCCGACTGGTGGTGCGAAGGGTGGTGGTGGGAGGTGAGCACGGACGGGTGGTGCAGGTGCGCGGAGGAGGAGGTCGGGGTGCAGGCCATGCTGGTCATGGTGGTCATGGTGTGGTAGGTCGCGTCCGGTTTGAACGGGTGGCTCTTCTGCGCCACGATGTCCACCGCGGCCAGAGCCTCGGCTCTCTGCAGCAGAGTCTCATCGAAGCCGGCGAAGATGTTGCCCTGCAGCTGCGGGAGGAGGAGAAGGAGGAGACCGAGTAAGTCAAGACTCCATAAACAGTGGGAACTTGCACCGTTCTGCAACATGGAACATCTTAAATATGGATTGTTGTAACTCATCTGGAAAGACATTCATCCTGAAATATGTAGAAAACTATTAAACAAAAAATGTAAGTTTTGATTAAAAGGGAATGCAAGCGACATATTCACTGCATCAACAACATGTGCATTCTTACTATTTTAAAACTTATATATAAAACATATTATTGTTTTATTTTACACAATTTTTCCTCGTGGAAACGGTTCTCCAATTCAATGCGAAAGGCAACAATTAAAACGATTTTTTTATGTCCATTTAAATTTCTTTCTCATTCCTCAGAGATGGGAATCTAACGCAGCTCCATCGCCCAAAGTGTGTCACACAGCCGGGATAAATATTCATTTAAAATTCATATTTACGACCTCCTGAATAATTTCTACGGACAATGAAATGAGACCAGTTTGAATATGAATGGGAAAAATGTGATATGACGTGCGCTCAGAGAATCCTCTCCCTCCTTTATTTTTTATCCTCCTTTATCACACACACACACACACACACGCTCGTGGCTTCTCACAGACGCGTCTGCGCGTCTTTACGCACCGACTTCGCGCAGTATCACTTTTTTGCTCCACTTTTTTTGCGGCCTTATCCCACCGGTCGTATCCATATCCGCTTAATTCTATGTATTATCCCTTTTTGTTTTGTTTGGCAGTTGAATTGTTTCAGCCCAAATATGACGCCACCCTGATTTCTGACCTTAGTTAACAAAAGACGAGTTGGATGATCGCCCAAAGTTAAATTCTGTAAACTCCGTCATCATAACGTTACATTATAACGTTTCAAACCTTACATCTAATCATCGGTACAAGTTCGACCGCACCGAGTGTTCCTATAGACGCCACCCTCCCGCGTGGAGGAGAGGATGGAGCTGCAGGTGGACTCACCGATGGAGTGGGCAGACAGGCCCGGCGGATCCCTCAAAAGTGGGAGTCCAGCGGGTTGACCTGGGGCTGGGGAAGCTTTGGGCTATACAAAAGCCCATCTGTCTGTTAATGAGAAGAATGATTAGACCCCTACCTCCACTCCAGCGGTATTCGCGCTCGGGGGGGGGGGTCGTGTTCTGGCGTCCTCTGTCAGCTCCTGTTTTGGCAGATTTTTCTCCAAAAGGACGAAAAAAGAAGCGGAAAACTGGAAGAGGAAAACTGCAAAAGTTGGTTGAGGAGCACTGGAATCGAACCGGAAACCGAGAAGGAGAAGTACGTCCTGCTGCCGCGGGTCTCCTGACCTGCTCTCCGCCTGCCAGTGGCTTCTATAGTAGAGATGCTCTTCGCCTCCAGCTCCTATATCGGAGCGCCGCCTCGCGAGGCTCCTCCTCATTGGCGGAGGCCCCTTCCCCTCCCCCCCCCCTGCGCGACTCCACCAATGAAGTGAAGTGAAGACACCCCTCCTCACCCCCTCCCTCCCCCCACATGGGTACCAGTCGAGCTGCAGGATGCTCATGGGTTGCATTGCTTTATAATTTGAAAGTGAATTAAAAGTCGGCACCAATGAGAATTAAAATAAATGTTTTTTTTACTGTGAGGTGTGTTTTGTTTTTCATTCTTTACACATCTTTACAACACGTCACGCCTGGACAGCAGGTATCTGGGAGTAATTAATCTGTAGGGGGCACACACACACACACACACACACACACACACACACACACACACACACACACACACACACACACACACAGTTACAGCTGACAGTGAAATTATTAATTGATGGAAGACGCGCAGGAATTCCTGCCTGAATCCCATTGACTTCCATGGCAATTAATACATTAATTAATCATTAAGCTTCATTTACTTTACCCCCACCACACACACACACACACACACACACACACACACACACACACACACACACACACACACACACACACACTTCTCTCAATTAAAGAATAAACAGGCCTGAACGGGAACTAAAGAGGACGAGCAGCAGACGATGAAATATTTACCGATGAACCGCGCGAGGTCGGCAGCTTGTCAATCAAAAAAAGGGGGATTTCCGGCGGTCAGACACGCGCGCGACGGGACCGAATAATTATCCCAATAATCACCTTAAGGCCTCCCCGGGGGTAAGAGGGGTTCGTTCTCCCGGTAAACCTTCTTTTGTGGGATTATCGGGCTGTTCAATAATAATAATAGAAATAATAATAATAATAAATACAATTAAAAATAAAATAAAAATATATTTTCCCAAAGCTATTCATCAGGAACAACCTGAATATATGACGTAAATAATGAAAAACGAAATTATAGGGAATCTAATCCATCTCTTATGTTTGGCTATTTTCAGCATGCATTGTTGCAGGCGCAAAATGTAACAAAAAAGGTATGTATGTTTGAATCCAAACAACTTGTTTTTATAGATATACTAAGACAGCGTTTTGTAAGGTGAAGCAATAGAAAAAAAGGCCATGTGGCGTAGTTGGATTTTCCTTAAAAAATAACATGTGTAATGTAAAAAAAACAGGATGCTCCCTCTCCATCATCTGCTGGAGCCCTCGGCACAGCGTTTCTGCATCTGCAGCCTCTGCTGCCCTCTAACTGGATCCTCTTGTGTTGCTGTTTGGGGACCGTTCTGGGCGTAGACCCCCGGAGAAACATGACCAGGCACCGGGTCGTAAAGACGCATATGGAGGCGTCTACAATCTACAACCGACAACTCCTCTGACACACAAAAGAAAATATGAGGCCATTCAACTGTAATCACCGATATGGAGATTTGTGTTCTGCAGCAGAACAAAAAACATCTTGGTTTGATCCAATGTGGTCATTAAGAGGCGTGCTTGGTGACATGTGTTCACCTATTAATATGCTATGGCACATGTGACATATATGCTTCAAAGCATCAACATCCTCTTATTTTTTAACGGCTGAAAATATATTCTCTGTTTATCTTCAACCCAATTAGGACTTTTAACAAATAACCATCTTTTATTTTGAAGGTGGGAAATGAAGGGAGAACAGGGTCGTGTTGTGAGCCACCGTTGAACGCGGTGCTGATGGTGCTGCTGCTCTTGTTGGAGCTGTAACTCGGCCTCCTGGTTGAAACTTCAACCCTTTCGTCCCAGCGGCCGGCCTTCAAAAAAGAGCCGCAGTGTCGGTGTCAGTCAGACAGGAAACCTGAGCGAGGCCCATTGTGCCGCTGCGTGTCCCGGCCCTCCAGAGGGTCCCCGGCACCCGCTCATCAAATATACATCCGCCACCGTCCGGCAGGTCGCTCCCCTGGGGAAGGGGACACCGGACGGACGTCATGCAGCTGGGGGAGGGAGGGAGGGAGAGTTCTGGGTTGAGACGGCGACTGCGAGGGCCGTGAGAACGCGGCTCACATCGTCGGACCTCACTGCGAGCTGCATGAAGACGTCAGAGAATCACGACCATCCCTCTTAGGAGACATGTTGGGTCTTGCAGAAGAAATGTTTAATCTGCTTTCATAAAGGATCAAATAAACATCTTCAATGAAGCAGCTCCTATGATATCTTACAAAAAAGAGACTTACCTGTCAGTCACAAGGTATTTCAGCCCTGAGGCGTCCCTCGATTTATCGACTACAAATGGTCCATAATTCACCAAATTAACATCTCGGTGTGTTGAAGAAGACTTGAAACTAGAGATTGAGACCATAAACCCATGTTTACAAAGTTTACTGAGGGACTAAATTAAGAAAGAAGTCATTTTCTCATAGACGTCTATGGGACCAGAGGAGTCGCCCCCTGGTGGACATTAGCGAGAATGCAGTTATAAGACACACAGAAAGACGTTCTTTTATCTGTGTACATTTGAGCATTATATGTGCATCTGTATGTGTGTGTGTGTGTGTGTGTGTGTGTGTTGAGAGTGCGGGTCGGACTCTGAGGGATCAAACGTCCGGCGAAGCTTTCAGCGAGCAGAACATGGCCGCCACACTGCGCGTTTCTGCCACATTTAGCAAATGGACACCGAAGTGCAGCCTTTTTCCACCGCGGCCTGAGCGCACACGCCTCCTCTCCTTGTCTCCTCCCCTCCTTCCCGTCTCCTCCACTCGCTCTTGTCCTTCTTCCCCTCCGCCTCTCTGCGTCTTTCGCCTCTGAATAATTGATAGTGAGTAAAATCTTACGCTGTAAACTTTGCGACCATTCACCAAACCGGCCCTGGGCTCCTCACCGCGGGGCCCCCCCCCCCGCTGGAGGGTAGGCGGCGTCTAACCACACACTTTTAATGTAATTGCCTGTAGAGTTCCTTGTAAATATTTCATTGTCTGCCAGCACAAATTAAAGACACGAGGCTGGAAGAAAAGGTTAGTTGGTTCGCTCGGGGAGAGATTCTCAGCACTTTACCTGCCTGGAAAAGGCATGTTTTTTTCATGTCTCCTTTGGTGGAGGAAACACACTGAGAGGACGAGTCCTTCCGCTTGAGTTAGCTTTGACTGATGACACCGGCCTCGTCCATGTGTTCGACGATGACTTGTATGACCTAAAAAAGAACTTTTAGCGGCTCTTTAGCCACATGACGGTGTTAATTCATATGCGGCTTTGTTGGCACGGCGGCATCGTGGAAATCTAATAGGGAAGTTAACACGAAAATACTAAGTACAGGAAAGTTAACGCTTGGTAGTGTTTGGTTGGTAACCGATTACTCTTTATCAAAAAAATAATGAATCCCCCTGAGACGTCCTCTGTTGCTCTGTTTGTCAAAAAGTCTACAAATGATTTTGCTTTGTCTTTGGCTCGTTGTACAAGCCCCCTTTTCCTTCCATTACTTTTATTATTTATTTGTTGTGTGACTACCTGATAAAACAGCAACCTATTTTTTTCATTTGGGTTTACATGCAGGACAGGTTTTACCGTATGACGATAGTTTTATTCATATAGATATGTACCCTTCTAGTGGTTTGGTTCACCATGTTCGATGTGCGCTTCCATTGCGTGGCGTCCAAATAGAATAGATTTAACTTGAGTGAAGTTCCATTTGACTTCTTCCTAGTAGGATGTCAGTCAGGTTCTGACTCGGTCTGGAAGCAGCTCAGAGGAAAATACAGAAAACCGGAAATGCGTCTTAATCCGAAAAGAAACAAACAAAGATGGAAGGAAGCCGCGAGGAAGAAAAAGAAGCCAGGACTGAGTGACGCTCCCGCTGTGAGTCGGGGGAACAGGATGTGATGTCACAGTCTCAGCGCTGCTGTCGCCCAGCGGGCCATCTTAACCTCCGCTCTCTCATCGGGCCGTTGTCTTATTTATCGCGCCTTCTATTATCTCCGCCGCGTGTCCCTCCCGCTCGCCTTGTCCTCCACTTGACACGTGGTCGCGTCTGTCCGCGTGACGCGATTCGCCCGCCGATGAAGTTCAGAACGAAACGAGCAGACGGGGAGAAAAGGGTGCGAATAACAGTGAGCCGATTGCAAAAATAGGGTGTGACAGAATGAGAGAAAGACAGACAGCGAACGAGTCGGAGGAAGAGAGAAGACATATTTTGGATCAATAGATTAACTGAGTGCTCATGAATTATGCATCCGAGCCCTGCAGCACTTGCACATAAAGGGAATGTTGGGCAGGATTGGCGTGTAAAAGCTTCATAACCGCAGGCCTGTTTACTCAGAGTGTACGCGGGGACCGCCGTCACGCCGGACCGGGGCCGAGATGAGCGCCGGCCGCCATGGAAACCAAAGCCAAACCCAACGACCGACCGGCGCGAGCGTCACGCTCGAATTCACAACCCGTGAAGATGAAACGATACACATATCGTCCAAATGCCACACGCAAAAAAGTACTGAAACAAGGTCACAAACTCACTGAACACTTTGAGACACAAACTCGATCCAACAAACACGTCATACATTTGAGCTTTCTGTCCGTTACGTTTATTCTACTCTTCTATTGGAGCTTTTTCCGACGTCTCTCGGCCTGCAGCGTCAACGGGAACCACATCACGTGTGTTCATATTTCAGGCCTCCATCTAAAAGTATTGAACCGGGAGGTCACAGCCAATAATCCTCTGGTCCTGAGGACCTCTGCACCGTAATGAGAGAAGTGCCGCAAAGGGATTAAAAAGACTCTAGCCATGGTGAACTTTGACCTTTTTTCTTGCAACATCAGAGGTCTTCACCCTAACCCCGCCGGTCCCCGCCTCTCCCCGCTCCCGAGCTCCTCCCCGGCTCAGCGTCCCGGCAGTGCGGCGCCAAGGCCCGGGCATCAAACGGCGTCTCCCCGGAGAGCCGCCGCCGCCGCCGCTCATCTCCATGCAAACTAAATCCTCAGCGCTCGGCTCCTCTGTAACGACAAGAACAGAGAGCAGTCGAACAAAGGGAACACAAGTAAACAAAACAAAATGATGTGCTGAACGTGTCGCTGGGAAATAACAAGGATTGTATGTAAATGAAAATTAATCTTTTCTTTTTTTTTATTGAACTCCCCTGCCTGGTGTTTTGGGCCGGAGGGAGCAACAGGAACAGAGAGACAGCCGAATGTGTCAAAG